TATATATATACACACACAAACACATATACAGTAGACCTTCGTTACTTCACAGTTAATTTTTCACAGACTCGCTCTATCGCGGTTTATCTAAATAAGATTGGACATGACACACAATTGGCTGATTGATGGATGAGCCGCATGATCGGTATGGAATTTTTATTTAAAATAAATTATTTTAAATTATTTAGCACCTGTGTACAGCCCAAGCTGCAGAAGCTTCTTCATGCAGTGTGTCATATCTCCGCTGCAGAGCGGAGAAGTGGGCGTGGCCAAGAGGCTAACAGATAGCAGAGAGCAGCTGAGGCAGAGAGCTAAAATCATGACATTCTGTGCTCTTTTAGAGCATTTAGAGTTTAGAAACATTGTTTAGAATATTGCAAGAGTGTGGACAGGGTTTAACATGCCTTTATATAAATCTTTATATAAACACTAAAATAAACTACTACTTACTACTTGTACTATTATTCCTACTTTGTGGTTTTTCACTTATCGCGGGGCTTCAGGGTACATATCCCCTGAGATAAACAAAGGACTACTGTACTCACGTGATTGAGACGGTACAGGATGAAAAGGTAACGAAAAATAATAATACTTCGGACAGGCGCCGCCATTTTGTAGTTTTCTTTCAATAAGCGTACATTGTTTTGCCAGTCAAAAGAACTACTCTACCCAGAAGCCAACAGTGCTTCTGGCCACTGCTTTCTGCTAAAATGGAGAGAAAGTTTTGCAACACAAATTTACACTATCTATTAAGCTCACAGAACTGGCAGGAAAGTCACAAATAATCCTGAAGCTTCCTGAAGCTCAATTATCCACGTGCACAACAACCTGGATAGGGCGGTGGGCTTCGTAGCTGCAGGGTAGGTTTGCTGAACTGGAACCGAGCTGCTGGTCTGCAAAGCTGGTGAGTAAAATTTTACAGTACTGTGCAGTGCATATATGTATGTTGTTAAAAGTACGTAGGTTTAAGAGTTTATAGAACACTGCAAAGAGCCATGCAAGAGTGTGGGAAGGGTTCATATTATTATATAATATATATCTAAATACTAAAATCATTATAGTGTTCCTACTATCACAGTTGTGTGGAACGTAACTCCTGAGATAATCGAGGGACTACTGTATCTCAATATTTATTTATGTACATTCTAACCTCTTTTTGTCTAACAGATAAAACACCCTTGCTTCTACTCAAGCTGGCTTAAACCAAGTGCTGAAACTCCCGTTTTAATTCAGCAAGTATCCGTATCACTGCATTGTCCAGAGTCTATCTTTAGACAGTTCTATTCCGGTACACAAATGGATAAGATTTCATATCGATTACACTCACCTATACATATCTCATCATCTGTCTCAGCGTCTCCAATACATTGGAACTTGAAGTCATTGAGGGAGTCTGCAAACTTCCTCTTTGCCGTTGATACACCTGAGAGAAAGGAAAGACAAGACAACAAGCATCAGTGGTTAGTGTTATGTTCATCAAATATCTTTGTAATGCAATGGTTTTCACAGTAATACTTTCTAATCTTACTAGTGTACTTTTGTCTGTAAAAGCAGATGTTTCAAATACCAGAATCATGAAAAGCATTCTTTACTTGGTTTAAATGTTGGCTACCTTAATTTAGAATTAATAATATATGAGAATAATACTGTATTTATTATTTACTATTTTCTTTTGGAGTTACTTGAAATAATCATAAAGAGGATAAGCGAGTACATCCCCTGTGGTGTTATTGATGGTGGCCGACATCTATTTGTGCTGAAATGTGCAAAATGTTCCAATAAACTGAAGTCCCATTAGTCCAGAGATATAGTGAAAATCCTTGGACAGTTGAATGCCTTTCAAATAAAATATGAGGCGTGAAGAGCTCCAGTGGCTTCAGTTTGGCTTCACGGTAGAGTCAGCTTCACTACAGCATTTCCTGTTGCTGGGCTGTTTGAGGTCAGCCGCACATTCTAGCTTGGAGTAAAATAAGGGCAGGCTAACAAGGAAGGCTAAACACCCTACATATGAACCACAGGTTGCAGGGTACTCCCTGGAACCAAGATATGTGTGCCATCTTGACGAAAAGCTCAAAATGTTCAAGTAAAAATAAAATAATGAGCATTTTATATAGCTGTTTTGGGGATAATATCTGTTCTTTTACTTGTGTGGTCAAAGAAGAAAGGGAGAAGCTGTAAGGGGTAGCATTATGGTGTGGTCAAACTCAGAAGGGAAGTCCCATATTTCCAGAGGGAACGTGACAGAATCTACACAGAGTAAAAAAAATATATAAAAAAGCTATTAGTTTGTAGTCCTGGAGTGTTTTACAAAACGTATAGAAATTAAAAAGATTTATGGATGTAGTGCAAATGACACTGGAGTAAAGACATATAAAAAAGTTTCTCTCAGAGACAGATGGGAGTCAGGGAAAGGACAGTGTACAGAAAAGACAGTGAGTAATTGGCTGGGTTCAAGTGTACTACAGCTCTTCTGTGCAGGATTTGTGCAGCTTGCCAGTCTAAGAAATAAAACCCAGGCCTCAGCTTCTGAACAGACTGCCAGAAAAGGCAGACATGCTGCTGCCACACGGAAACACACATCACTTTTTCTCTACGTGACTGACTCAGAAAAGCTTTGTTGGAGGTCAATGAGCAATGAGTCAGAGTGGTTCTGTATCATCAAAATCTCTACAGCATTACAGAATTGAGACTTCACGCCAAGCCTCAAAAATAAGTTGTGCTTTTAACTTGTCTTAAAAAAAACCTGCACTTTGGTTTTTCCAGTTTTCTCATATTCTGTACCTTCTGGCAATTTTATCCACATTAATAGTACAAGTTGGCAACATAAATTGCAAATAAAACACAAGAAATGGTGTTTTATTTGGTAAAAACAAAAAAAAGAGGTTAGAATGTACAGAAATAAAAATGTATTTGATGATATTCCCTGAACATTTCCTATTTGGTTTCGTCAGGGTTCCCAGCATTTCATGAACACAAAATTCCCCAGAGTTTTTCTTGAGTAAATCCTGAGATTTCAGGAGATATTTCAGTCAAATGAAACACTCAGAATTTTGTGTTTTATGTTGCGGGCAGAGTCACATTCAGAGATCACAGCAAGTATACTATTCCAAAGAATTAATTATACTGTAAAACATCAAATATCAAAAAGCCACCAAAGCCCCATCAGTAAGGAAACATGTACTATGTACACAGTAGAAGCAGAACATGGACTCTATTATACTAGAATACTAGCACTAATACCTCTACACATCAAAATCTCTGAAAGATATTTATTTTAATAAGCACTTTTGCACACTGATCAAATTTATTGGGTTTTCCCATATTTTCAATGTTTTTCTAAAGTTCCCTGACTTTTCCCTGTTTGGAAAATGTGAAAGTGATTTTCCAGGTTTTCCCTGATTTTGAAAGTAGTTGGGAACCCAGTTAGTCTAAAGCCCTACGTTCAAGTTATATTGATACAGCAGGACTTTAAGATGCATAATGTGGCAAATTAGTCAATAAAGGACTGTCTATATATATTTTAAGCCAAGGCTGGATATTTCTACTGCTAATGAAAAGGAATGACTTGGTTGTAAGAAGAAAAACAATAGAAACAAACTGGGATTGTGTGTGTGTGTGTGTGCGTGCGTGCGTGCGTGCGTGTGTCTCATAGGAGCAATCTAATATTCAAGAATTAATAATAATAATTAATTATTAATAGAAGTATTTTTCAAATATGCTTTAAAAAAAACTGTTCCTCAATTGTTCCCACTATAATATAGAAAATGTATTCATTTTATTTTATCGTTTTTTCACTCATATTTAAACATTTTGGGTAATTTACTGGATTATATAAAATTTGGTGTCTAGTTTTATGACTGAAAAAACAAACAGCACATGCATTGTGATACAAAAGCTATTAAATCAAACAGTTACGGCAACCTGTTGTATGCCTTGAAATTATTAATTATACATCGCAGCACATACATTTGTCAGTTCCTTGACAGTAATTCCAACAAAATAACAGTAAGATGACATTTTACTTGCCGTGAATGCGCATTAACATTTCTAATGCTTACAGTAAAGTATGACTTTATCCCTCCCTGTTCAAAATGACAGGCTTGCATCACCTAAAATAAACTAACATGCCTGCTGTTGGGGTTAGCTTACTTGCCCTTAAAGAATGTTTCATTAGAAAAATACTGGCAAACCATTTCATGAGGTAATTTAACTTTTTAGTGAAATACATTTATCATGTGCAATAGCTCTCCCAATAGGCATCATGTTGATAGATGCTGGCAATGCTGACAAATTTGGACACACACGTGCACACATATCCATGTTAAAATACACACACATTACCCCAAAGCAGAACGCTTGGATCACTCAAACCGGGATTGCAAATCAAAACCACATTGTTGGCCGATACCTTTCTGTACAATTGTGCCAACTGAAATGGGTTACTATAAAACAGAGAAAGAATCGCACAGAAGAAGAACAATGTTCAGAGTAAAAAGGTCTGCTCAGAGATGCAGTAATCAGTAAAGCTTTACCATTTAAGGAAGTGATTTTTGTGTGGTAATGCACATGTTCACATTTTAAACGAGTTGACCAATAAGGGTGATATACGAGTGGTACACCAACCGAAGCAAAGTTATTCAAGGATTCAAAGAATCAAGGTTCTTTATTGTCATTGGCATCGCATGTGGTACATGAGGTGGAACAAAATTGTGTACACAGGGTCCCAGTTACATCCAACAATATTAAAAATATAAAGTGTAAAAAACAGTAAATAAGGATCTAAGATATACACTAAGATATACGCTAAACAAATGCTCAACGGTATGCTAAAAGATCTAAAATATTCGCTAGTCACTAATAGCACAAAAACAATACACCGAGCACGAACACGAGTCTGTATGAGCAGATGAGTACGAATGAATACAGCAGCATGAAATAAATCAGCAGCATGTGATCAGCAGCATGGATAGTCAGCTGCACATATCAACAATCAAGTATTATCGTAGATGTGAAAGATAAGGATCAAATATTGAAACTGACAGACTTAGTTATAACTTTTGTGTTTGTGATTTTCAGTAGGAAGTAAATTTTCATGACAAAAACATACAAAAAATACTCATTCCCAAATACCTGGTAGAAGTTCTGTCTTAGCTACTAAATACAGTAAGAGAAGATAGACAATGTTAAAAAAAATATAAAAAAAAAACTTTAAAAAGTCTTCAGTTAATTCAAAATGCTGCTGCCAGAGTCCTAACTCGAGTTAGTAGATCATCTCTCTCGTTTTAGCTTCTCTCCATGGCTCCCTATCAAATCCAGAATTGAATTCAAAATCTCACTTCTAACTTACAAAGCTCTCAACGACCTAGCTCCATCTTCTATTACAGATCTTATTGTTCCATATTTTCCTTACAGAGCACTTTGCTTTCAGACTGCAGGCTTATTTGTGGTTCCTAGAGTTTCCAAAAGCAAAAAGGGAGGAAGATCTTCAGTTATCAGGCTCCTTTTGTGGAACCAACTTCCAGTTTCTGTCCGTAAGGCTGACACATTGTCCAGTTATAAGACTGGGCTAAAGACTTCCCTTTTTAATAAATCCTATAGGTAGGGTAGGCTTGTTATGCTGCTTTAAGCTTAGACTACTGGAGGACAAAATGACCACATTTCTTAAAATGAATTGTTAAAAATTAATAGTTTTCATTTGATATTATTTATATCTTAACATGTGATTCTCCACCTGCCATTGTGTATCTGTTCCTCTTTCCTGTCCCCTCAAACCCAGCTGGTCGAAGCAGATGGCCGCTTGTCCTGAGCCTGGTTCTACTGGAGGTTTCTTCCTCATCTTGGAGTTTTTCTTTTCCACTGTTGCCTTCATGCTTGCTCAAGAAGAGAGTCTGTGATGAAGTTGAACTCAAAGCAGTCTGCTCCAGCTTACTTTTTATGGATATGAATGTTTCTGTACAGTGCCCTGAGATGATGTCTGTTGTGACTTGGTGCTATATAAATAAACTGAATTGAAATTAATTGAATTAATAACTTTAATACAAAAGACAACTAACCATGTGCTGTAAGCTGTTGTATTTTAGGCATAGTTAACAGCTGGCCCAGTTAAATACATAGTTCATGTGGAAAAACTTGAAGAAAAAACAAACTGAGTTGCAGTACTATATGTTTCCTTGCAGCATTCCATCTGTGGCGTTGCTGTGTGGGCTTGTTGTAAATGTGATAAAATCAACCAATGAATGGAAACTATTTGAAACATTTTGAATATGATAGAAATAATTTATTGTTTAAATTAAAAAAAAAATCTATTGGGAGCCATCAGGTGAAGGATGAATGGATGAAGCTTTGCAAACTGCTTTTCAATATTATTTCACGAGTGTGTGTTGGCGTCCTGTCAGAATGGACAGCAAAAGACGGGCAAAACTA